AGCAGCAATTAATGACAGCAGCAAGAGGATTTTTACGTATATTTATATAATATTTATATAAATATAAACATAAATATATAATAATAAGCAACAAATACAATAAATATACACATAAATAATGATGGCTGCTGCTGCTGCTGCTGCTGCAGCAGCAACAGCAGCAGCAGCAGCCGGTCGCCAGCGGCTGGAAGCCACCAGCAGCAACAGCAGCAACAACAGAAGCACGAGCAGCAGCAGCAGCAGCAACTGAGGTGTATAGCCTTCTTCTTTTTTTTTATTGTTTTTTTTTACTATAATAAATAAATTAATTATAAATATTTAATTAAATAAGAGCTGCCTATACACCCCAACTAACAGCAGCAAATGTACCCCATAATATTACCTGTTGCTGCTTATTATTACCTAAATAAAGACACAAGTAGACGCCATAGGGGCCCCCAAGGGGGGCCACCCAATAGTTATAAATATATTATACCCTATTTATAGGTCTTATTTATTATATTAGGGGCCCCCTAAGTACCTAACAATCTTCTTTGGGGCCCCGTCGCTGCTGTTGCTGCTCAACAGCAGCAGCAGCAACAATAGCAGCAGCAGCAGCAGCAGCAGCAGCATGTATGCGATGACACACATGCCTGGGCATGTAGGGCCTCTCTTACCTCCTTGCTGCTGCTTCCCAGCAGCAGCAGAAGCAGCAACAACAGCAGCAGCAGGAGCAGCAGAAGAAACTACCCCTCCCTCCCAGTACATAGCGACAGCAGCAGCAGGAGCAGCAGAAGCAACTACCCCTCCCTCCCAGTACATAGCAACAGCAGCAGCAGCAGCAACAGCAGCAGCAGCAGCAGCAACAGCAGCAGCAGAGAGTAAATACAATAGACACAAACCTTAATGGTTACTAAAAAGCGAATAAGTGTTACACACAGCAGCAACAAAACTTTGCTGCTGTTGCTGCTGCTCTGCTGCTGCAGCAACAGCAACACCAGCAGCAGCAGCAGGAGCAGCAGGAGCAGGAGCAGGAGCAGAGTATTGTTGCTGCTGTGCTGCAGTCCCTCCTTCCCTCCTTATACAGCTAGACTTGCTGCTGCAGAAAGGAGACACTTATACACCTGACGAGGCAAACATCTCAATAAGAAAAAGGAGACACCGCAAGAAAAAAGGAGACACCTATAAAGTGTCCATTCCTCCCCAGCTAGCTAGCTAGCTAGCTAGCTAGCTAGATAGATAGCTAGTTAGCTAGCTAGATAGATAGATAGCTAGCTAGCTATATATATAGCTAGCCACTAGGCTAGCTAGCAAAAAAAGCAAACAGCTAGCTAGCTGGCTGGCAATCAACCTAGCCGACCAGCTAGCTAGATAGCTAGCTAGATAGCTAGCTGGCTAGCTGTACAGCTAGCCAGCTACACAGCTACCAGCTACCTAGATAGCTGTCTGTATAGCTAGCTAGCTAGCTAGCTATCCCTGCAAGGGAGATGAGTTAGCGGGGACATCCGCAGAGCTTTATATAGCCTCAATGCAAACACAAAGAAAAAAGAAAAATAAATAAATAAATAAATAAATAAATAAATAAATAAATAAATAAATAAATAAAAAGAAATAAATAAATAACTATATAAATAAAAAGAAGAAAAAGAAAGGAAGAAAGAAAAGGAGACAGAAAGGAGACAGAAAGAAGGAAAGAAAGAAAAGACCTTTAGCTAGCTGAGGTAGCTGTCTTACTGCTGCAGCAACCAACAGCTAGCTACTAAGGCCACTGCACACCTAGCTAGCTAGCTAGCTAGCTAGCCAATTACCTAGCTAGCTAGCTAGCTAGCTAGTTTAATTGGCTAGCTAGGTAGGTAGTTGTGCAGTTGTCTAAGGAGACGGAGAGACAGCCAAAGCAAAGGAAGCAAAACAAACCTCTCTCTGCAGCAGCAGCAGCAAGAGCAGCAAGAGCAGCAAGAGCAGCAACAAGAGCAACAGCAGCACGTGCTGCTGCTCCTGCTGCAGCAAAGAGACAATGAATATATCCTTGTTGCTACACCCCAAGATATACATAAATACATTGGCTTCTTCCTCTTTTCCTGCTGTTGCTGCTGCTGTTGCTGCTGCTGTTGCTGCTGCTGCCCTACCACGACAATAAGCAGCAGCAGCAGCAGGAGCAGCAGCAGCAGCAGCAGGAACAGCAGCAGCAGCAGGAGGAGAATATTAACATTCAAGACCAATCCTTCGATTACAATATTTAAGCCCCAAGAAAGCGCATGCACGTAAAGAAAAAGCAATAATAAAAAGAAGAAATAAATTAAATAATAAATTAATATTATTTATACCTGCATAAATATATAAATAATTATCCCCTAATGTTGACCATTTATTATTATTAATAAATTCATTTATAGCAAAACATATATAAGGATAATGTATAAAAGATATATATTTTATCCAACCTATCCATGACTATATATATATATATAACAACAGCAGCAAGTGCAGCAGCAAGTCCAGCAGCAAGTCCAGCAGCAAGTGCAGCAGCAAGTGCAGCAGGA